AGGCGGCTCACGATTCGCGTTTCCGCTTCTTCTCGCGTTCCTTTCCATGAAAACAACGTTTTTCAGCTTTTTCGAACTGGTCAGAAAAAAGAACGATGTCTCGAGACTCACTGTCCAGCGTCGACATTCTTCCGATGTTCGACCAAGATGGAAAATAAAATTGAATTATGCATCGCTCCGTTCAAATAGAGAAATACCTTATCGAAGAGAAAAAGAGTCTCGCACGCAAATAATTCAGCATCAGCTGGCACCGATTTGAAAATTCTTGCGATTGATACTCGACGACGGGACGTTTCCTTTCGAACAAGATTCCATTCTTTTTCCCGAAAATATCTTCTGCAACCCCGTTAAGAAGATATTTTATTATGCTTTATATCTTTGGAAGAATCCATTTCTTTTTCTGCGCCTTCTTACAAGATATAATTTCCATACAATTTACGCGTACGTTCAACATTTCAATGACCGAATTTCCCAAAAATACGAAAGAAATATTTGATCTTTCATTTAACTTGCAACGATGTTACGGCGATTTGAAAGACGTAACTATCAGTAGCGGAGGACGATCAAAAGTACGTTTAAGCGCTATATTTCTTGAAAAATGAATTTATAAAATATTTTCTCTGATATTTCGAGATCTACTTGATCAGTTGATTCGAAATTTTGCGCGCACCTTCAGCGCGTGTATTCACATTTTTACTTATTTTACTATCCGCTATTTAAGGTAACAGAGATTGGTTGAAAAATTCATACGAAATGTTCGACAAATTGATTCGCGATACTTTATTTACAGAAAGGGAAGTAATTATGTGATATTGTATAACGAGGAAATTGGTTTTCGAAAGATAAATTATTCATTGAGATTTGTAGATTCACTAGTCGATGAAAATTCTATTTGAAAGATGGAAAAGTAAATCTAGCTGCTTCCGTTATTTTTTTCAGAGCACGAGCATATTTTTAGAAATAAAGCTTCGCGTGAATCGAAACGGTAGATATCTCTTTGAAATTTCATGAATATTCCAACTCTTTCTGATGGAATTTCGCAAATTCTGCGTCTCTATTAACATTTTCTATCTAGTAAAAGTACAAATAGGTATAAATTATCGGACAATTCATAACAAAAGAAATACGTCATAGTCTCGAGTAATATCCCGACACGATATAGTAATTCTGTCTCTGTCATCCTGCGTCACGAATCTACAAAATTAATTAATTCCCAACAATTAATTCCCGCAGAGTTAACGATCACGTTTCCGTTCTACAAAACTAAACTCTAAGCTGATATTAGTTTTCTTCGTCAGTCTGTATCTTTCCATTTTCTCAACGTTATTTCTAATTTTTCCCATCGTTCGAAACGCCTGCTCTCCATGACAAGGATACGAAATTCGTTATCTTAGCAATCCGTCAGCAGAGAACACTCGCGATAATTCAAATCCTATGCAACCGGATAGTAATCGACTGGGAAATGAAAAGCAAAGGCTGAATCAGCAGGACGACCTCGGCTTAAAATTAATTACGCGAGATTCGCTTGCTATAACCGGGATCCTATTCGACTGCAGGATATCAGCCTTCTCGAGCCTCGTAATGCCTTTACACGTGCACGGCCATAGAATTAGGAAGTCTACAGGATCTCTCGTTGATCTGTTCCACTTTCTCCGTGAGAAGGAATTCGATAATTCTTCGACGCGCGGAAACTTTCGAAAATTCTCCGATTGTTGATAGTCGACATAGTGTGTAAACGCTTGTACGTGGTTTGTTAGCATAGATAATGGCTGAACCGTAACAGATAAGAGAAATTGTAAGAACAGATATCTTGTAAATGACGTTGCAACTCCATGGTATGGTTTGCATGTATTGTAGGTATTGTACTTTCATCGACGATGGATTTGTGCGTGCATGTTAGCATTTGAAGTTTTAGAAGAAATCGATCAGGGGAAAATGGCTTGAATGCGTAAGAGATATTTCTTGAAAGGAAGAATAGAAAAATACGATACACTTTATGAAATATTAGTTAAAAATATGAAATCTTTTTGTACAAGGAAAGATAGACTTTAAAAACGATATATTGGGAACGTATATGATTAATACGTTGATATTAAAGATTTATTTGATCATAAGAATGAAGAATATGAAATTCGTAATGACTACTACGAATTACGTAAATTATTGCCAAGTATTTGTATTTCATCATAATGTTGAATCGATCGATTTATAGGATTAATGTTACCACACGTAACGAACAAATACACTCCGATGTCGATAAATTATTCAATATTTTCCGAAATATCAGCAACATGCACATACATTATGCACACGTATGCATATGGGATTTAGTAACTACCTAATTTCTCTCGTATAAATCGATTTATCCTTACAATTATGGCTGTTTGTTTTCAGTCGCTACTCTGTGGTAGTTTCATTTTTTCGTAATTTTGTAATTAAAAATACACTTTGTCAAAAAGAAGCAAGTTTCCGGATTCTTTTAAACAACAGTATATATTTCTGTCGTATAAATCGATTTATCCTTACAATTATGGCTGTTTGTTTTCAGTCGCTACTGTGTGGTAGTTTGATTTTTTCGTAATTTTGTAATTAAAAATACACTTTGTCAAAAAGAAGCAAGTTTCCGGGTTCTTTTAAGCGGCGGTATACATTTAGAAAAAATAAGAGCAGTGTCACAGGTGTTACAAAAGTAACAAGTTGGATATGGTTTCCGACTAAAAAGCGTGTTTGTTCTTGGAGAAATTAGCACACCATAAATTCACGTTATATTTCCGTGTTGCGACCATTCGGACGCTTTATTTGCCAAGCGTTTACATAAAGGCGATAAACGGATCGATTCTCGTAAATCAATGAGGGACGTCGAGCTGTAGAAGCGGTGGCCGGTAATGGTTGTACGGGACTATCTTGCCGTTTTAGAAAGCTCGTTTTTTCCCCTATCGTTTTTCTCCGCGAACGACATTTTTACGATCCCTAAATCCAGCCTGAGACCTGAGAGAATTAATCGGCGATTGTGCCAGTATTCGGTATCCTTGAGAGCTAGATCGATTCCGCCCCCTAAGCTACGGCTCTCAGACTTTTCTCGGTCGCACTGCACCAGCAAACTTTCACTCCGGATTATCGAATATCCTCCTAACAATCATTTTTACCTATAAACGATGAAATTTTCTTGGAAACTTAACAATTAAGGAAAAGTTTGTCGTTAGAGCGTTTCAAATGTGTATCTACGTATATAGAATTTATGAACGCAGATCTAGGGCTATTTAATTCGTGTTGACGATCATAATCTTAGTCGAAAGATCTATGAAATTTGTATTGAAAATTTTGCAGAAAAATGATTACAGTTCGATCGATGTCGATCGACTTCTCGACGTTGTTTAACTCTGCCAGAATTATCAGACAAATGACACATACTTTTACTCTTGTAACTTACAGAAGGAGAAATTGTAAGAAAGCTACTTTGTCTCTGGTTTTCATGATTTTTGCACATGCCGTAGAGATCAACGTTTTTCAAACAACGTTCTCCTGTATGTACGCGTAACAAGGATTGACAAATCTAACACAAACACAATACAGCGACGATATTCATTTTTAACTGAGCTATAACACACATTTGGTATATGCGTTTGTGCACAGCGCTTGAAGCTGGTCCAGCTCTCGTTTATTATTACTATAAACAAAAGATAGCCGGTCGACGAACAATGCGTTCGGTTACACGTGGATACGGGAAAAAGTTGTTCGAAAAAACGTTCATCCCTGCAACATATCCAAAAATCATGGAAATCGGAAACGAAGTAGCTTTTCTACAGTTTCAGCATAAAAAAAAGAAGAAAAACAGTGGTAATAGAAATTAAATAAACAGCAAACGTATCGATAGCAGGTTCCAACAATAAACCGAGAAAAATATCTGTAGAATTGGAAAGTAATCTGAAAGAATTTCCCAAGTGGCCTTGTCTTATTTTTATATTATTTCGCATCGTGTGACACAGCATCCGTTCAAAACGAATAGGATTTACCAACAACGTATAGCTCGAGACAGAGGAATCACGAACGTTCAATTTTCAACGGGCCAGTTCGACCATAACGTTTGTCGGATTTGTCGAGGCAATATCGCGCGATGAAAAGGGATTTCTCTTTCCCTGGGAAGACGATGGAGAAGCGACAGAGGCAAAAGAGACCGACGAATCGAGGCTATTCGACGCTCGAACAGCCTTTGATGTGACCCCGTAATCGCTTTGAACTTTCCACCGTGTCTCGACGCGTTAATATTTGTCAGCAATTTCTTTTTTCCTTCTCGATTATGCTCGAACACGATTACCGGCTAGTATCGATGATAGACCGTTCAAATCATCGAGTCGGACACTTATCACGCGATCGTCTGAAACGAGAAAGCAATCGCGATGGAAGGGATTAAATAATATAGAAAAAGACGTGAATCGTAAAGTTCTTATTAAGCGGGTCGAACGATCTTGTAAACGTACGTAGCTGACGCTGATGACAGGAGCAAAGATATCGTATCGTTTAAATCCTTGAAATCTTTAATATCAGTATATTTCGTTTGAATAAATTTTTGCGTAGAAGAGAAAGAGAACTTCTTTGAGGTAACTTTGAAAACTATCAAGTGTCTTATTGATAATCTACATTGATCGATTGACTGACATCAGTAAAACTGTTATTAACGTGTTATTCGAGTAAAGCACATGGACACAAGAGAATAGAAAAGTGTCAAGGATTCGCAAGACGAATGCTGCTTTTCTTAAAACCTTGAGAAAGATTGATAAAAGAATTGTATATTTAAAGGCAATTAATCAGCATGTGGATCCCAAATGCTAAAATGACTATATTTCTTTTAGTAAGCAGCGTACTAATTGAATTAGCGAAATTTACGAAGATTTACATTCGGTAATAAATTTTAATAGCGAATACAGAATTTTAATGTCGCTCCTCGAACGCAAATTCTTATTTCTTATATTCTTCCTTTTCTTCTTCTTGAGGTAGCAACAATGCACGTGAAAGTATGATTACTCGTACTACCACTGCTCATAAATAATAATTCGCTAAATGTCAGTTCTTTTTCTTTTCAGGGCTTCTTTAGAAGAAGCATTCAAAAGCAAATAGAATACAGGTGCCTGAAGGACGGCAATTGTTTGGTCATCAGAATAAGTCGGAATCGCTGCCAATACTGCAGATTCAAGAAGTGCCTAGCTGTCGGCATGTCCAGGGATTGTAAGTAATCACCTGCGTAAGCACTTTTCGTTAACTCACTACAATACCGATAGGATATCGTAGAAAAGGAATGTTTGAAACGTTTTAAAACATATAATTCCATTCTTTCGATCATATTTTTCGTGCCAAATTTTATACAATTATATCCTTTTCGTGTCTCCATAGCAATTATTATACTTGTTTGTTTTTTTACGCGCGGAAACGTATCGATAAAGATGCACGATCAACGATAACATACGGCGGTAAGTATAATAACTGGCGGTAAAACATGATCTCGGTGAAACGATCGTCGATGAAATGATTATCGGTGATTCGAAGGTAACCCTACTGAAATAGCCATTCATAAGCCAATTATAATCTCTTTTCTTGAATAAAAATAAATTACTATCCCTTGCAAACGATTCTCTTTTGCCTAAGTAATAATTTTTAATTACTTGAACTGGTTAAATATGTCAATGATGGGAAATGTCCAAGCTCTCTAGTTCCTTTGCCGCAAAAGTTGCTCGAATTTATTTGCAACTTAGCGCTCTTAGACTCTTTATATGCCCAGTGGCAATAGCTAGCGTGTCTTTCAGTTTCCGGAAATTCCGGCATCCGTCGAGTAGCGAGAGAGAGTAAAGCAAACTGAAACGAAGTTGCGTACATAATTAAACGTCAAAGTTCCATCGTGCAATATGCGGTGGTGTATAATAGGAAACCGTCGGAGCTTTCCGAGCTAGCATTGTCGGCGAAATCGTAATAAGCCTCTGCTAGTCTTGTGATCCGCTTAAGAAGCGGATGTAACCGGGGTAAAGCTGGCCCGAAAGCTCTGCACCCTCTGTTGTTCGGAGTAATTCTCTCGAGTACCGTATAAAATACTAATCTTTCGTAAATACGTTCATTTTCGAGACAGGATGCTAGGATGAGCAGTGTAGCGTGCGTAGGACGTCGAAATATTATTAGATCGGTACATACGCTTATAGCTTTTTTCACATAAAGCTGCAACTACACGCACAGTTACCTCGAGCGATCTATTTATCTTCGAAATAATTTACATCTAATTCTCTACACTCTCTGCTTCGTAATTTCATTACAGTAGATTCCACGAAACGTTATATTAGTCGACGTAAATTTCCTATAATCCTACATTTCTATAATCTCGTCATAATGACTTCTTCCAAGGATCATGTATTTCATCGAAATAATTTTCATGTAATCCTGTAGACTTCCCTCTGTAATCTCGTTTTATTAGCTTCTTCCGAAACGTCGTATTAAATGGTAGTAACTTTCACGTAATACTATGGTTATTTTAGACTACATTCTAAAAAAAAAAAAACCCACCAACTTCAAGACTCGACAAAACGTTTGCATTTTAAAACCGCCACCAAACCGTCAGAATCGATGGATCGTTTCTTAAAATCGTCGTCTTTAAGGATCGACGACGACAGTATTTTTAAGTCGGTATTTTTAAGAATGAACGATTAGATTGGGAAATTGCTCTTCGAATAACTAAAGTAAATATCGTTCTCTCGATTTCAGCCGTTAGATACGGCAGGGTGCCGAAACGTTCGAGGGAACGCGGCCCCGAAGACACAGTACCGACCACCACGTCAACGACCACTACCACCGGAGTACAACAACTCACGTCCCCTGCTGGTGCTAACAATAACAATAATAACACCAACAACAATAACAACAACACCAGCAGCCAAAACAATAACAACAACAGCCAAGCACAGAACGCTATACCGTGTGTGCCGCCAGCTGCTGTGGTAGAGGCAGATCAGTCAGACGCGGACGTGAAACAGTTGGCGGTTTACGACGTGATACTTCAAGTTTCTCAGGCGCATCACGCTCACTGTGGCTTCACCGAGGAATCAACGAGGGGCATCGTCCGGAAACCGATGATAATACCGGTGAGTTCGCTCGAAAATTCAGAGTGAAGTTACAGAAGCATGGATACATTAGTAGCGGATACGACGAAGGAGCTCGTTCGCTGTTGTAACTTTGTTGATTAAACAATAGGAAGGCAAAACTATGAAGATCGTTCTACGTAAAAATAAGAAGGTTAATTGTTATGATTTTTTACATAATACATATTATGTAAAAATATGCATTGGTAGATGTCGTAATAGATGAAAGGTCGATCGTATATATGTGAGAAATTTCTAAACAATTGTTCGAAATACTTACGATCAATAGAATTCCAAATTTCATCTCATTATTATTACTAGGTCGATTAATACGCTTTGATGGCCATATATATCAGGATATTTGCTGATATTTAGTACGAATTATCGTTGTTTCGTTAATTATCTCTGTTTTTTCATTGGTATTATTATATATTCGCCTTATATTAAAAAATGCAATAAAATATGAAATAAAATAAAATTTGTTAGCGTATTTCAGTAAATATAGCGAATAGATAAGTATCCTTATACTTGTGGCTAACAATGTGTATACGTAGTTCATTTTTAATACTATTATTAATTATCTGATATTATTACTTATATTACGTTTATTTATCGGCATAACGTTTCGTTAGTTGGTTCATTAGTTAATTAATTATTCGAAATTACCGCGTCGTATCCGCTTCTAATTAATTGATTAACATATTAGAATGACGCGGTGGAACTGGAACTGGCAGCAACGCCTGTTTCTTTTATAATCCTGCTGATTAGGCGAGTACTTCTTCGCAGCCCGCCAGTCCAGAGGACCCAGAGGCGGCATCCTCGACAGCAGAAACAGTTGAATCGCAAAGGATCTGGCTTTGGCAACAATTCGCCACTAGGATAACGCCATCGGTACAAAGGGTGGTGGAGTTTGCCAAAAGGGTGCCAGGATTTTGTGATCTTTCGCAGGACGATCAATTAATTCTGATTAAGGTCGGTTTCTTTGAAGTCTGGCTAAGCCATATCTCAAAGATGACCACTGACAGTTCGATGACATTCGAGGATGGTACTTATATCACTAGGCAACAAATGGAATTGATGTACGAGGTAAGAACTCGCTTGTCGTTTTCTATGGCCGTAGGTTGCAATCAGTGTCTAACAATCCGATGCGAAAAGCAACATAAAAATCTGAAAATTGAAACGTATTGCGATAGAGTCTCGTTTATAAGAACAAGCTAGTACTCGAGTATTTAAATATACAAACTCATAATTAAATGTCAGTTACCCGAACAATGGTCGAACGTAACTTGAATTATCCCGTGACTATTAAATTTTAAATCTCACTCGATATCACAACGACACTTAATTGATCAATACGAAACAAAAACAGCCAGACTTCGTGTCTGCTTTGATGCAATTCACTTCGGCCTTAAACGCCCATCAACTATCGGACACCGAATTGGGCCTTTTCTCCGGCGCCGTTCTTCTGGGTGAAAGACCAGGTCTGAACGACGTGAAAACAGTGCAGAGGCTTCAGGATCGTCTTTTGGAGGCGCTGAAGGTTCAAGCGTTACGGAATCACACGGTTTCCGGCGAGGCTACTTCCGCGGGAGGTTGTTCCGGTGTTTCGAGCGTCTCACAAAGGATACCAGAATTAAGAACTCTGGGTGCCAGACATGCGAATCTGCTCGACTGGTTCAGGAGGAACTGGACCAAGCTCAAATTGCCACCCCTGTTTGCCGAGATATTCGACATTCCTAAGTGTGAAGAGGATCTTCAGTGAAGAGGTGATTATTTTTATGTTTCCTAAACTCTTAACAAGCACAGTGCAATATTGATCACCGCTAATCCATAGAAATACATTAAATATCTAAAGTATATGGCGATCTTTATAATGTTTGTTAAATAAAACAGATCCCTTTCGTTTCTTTAATTGCGTCCACGAAAGATCGAAATCTGCATAAACAACCTCGATCTACCGATGAGATTCTACTGTATTAAATAGGTCGAAATGGTGTTTACACGGGATATCTAAAATCCCATCTTCGAATAATTCGAATCTTTCTTATTCTTCCAATCTCGTGGCGCGCGTTACTCGCGAAGTCGCACTCCATAAATCCAGGTTTGCATTTTCGTCCACGCCCCTCAGCTCCACGATTCGATTTGCAATTCAACGCGGCAATCTGCACGATAGCGAAGAATTTTAATTGTGGGATCGTCTTTAAAGAATGTTTCAGAGTACATCGAGTTAATTCGACGAGAATGAACGGCCCTGCCGGAAGAGTCTTTCTAATTGCCGGTGTTCATCGCACAAATGCAGCTCGGATCTCGAGGACGATTTGTTTTCGCTCGTTGGCGGTGACGTACAGCGGTACGATGACGAGACGACGATTCGATTCGAGCGAAAAAAGGAAAAAAAGGAAGCGCAAAGACCGCTGCGATCTGCCAGCGATATGGCGACTCGATCTTCGCCATCATCGAGATCCATCTTGTGCTCTTCACTTTGTTTCACTCGTACAGGCTGGGAAGATGGATCGTTTGGCGAGGCGAAGGGTACAGATTGCTGATCGAAACACTCTTGACACGATATACGAAGAGAAAGAGAAAATTTATTCGATTAACAGGAATAGAATGAGCTATACAATGCGAACAATCGACGATTGGATCGATTACGTATTGGACGAAGTATATATATATATATATTACATAAATGTGTGTATGTGTGTGTATATATATATATATATACGACGAGTGAATAACTTTTAAAAAGTTACTAGATTTTGAAAAAGAAAAGTACTCTTTCTTTGAGATAATTATAAAGGCAAGCCCTCCATCGATTGTTCTAAATCGTGCAAGGGTAGGTAGCGAGTTCAAAACGGGATTTTCAAGTAGAAGGAATTTGTATCATTCGCTATACGTGTGCAATAAGACGCACGACTCCAACGAAAGCATTTTAAATAAGTACATAGTCAAGTCGGTGAGCAAGGGAATCAAGTTTCGTATCGTGTTGGTCTGGCGCATATCGTTGATTGCAATAAAGCGACGCAGTGATCGAACACGCGTCGCATCAAAAAGATAGCACAAAATCGTGATCGCTTTACAAGGCACGTTTATTATTACGATTTTATCCAGTTAAAATAATTCTCAAGCGAATTTTTCGGAACCTTGACTAATCGAGGATCGTATAAACGTTCAAAGTGCAGTCCGTGTGCAGCGATCTGTCGAAAACAGTGATCGAAAATCTCACGAATACATACGAGTACAAGATGCAACGTCGAACTTGTAAACATATCGAAAACATAATATCATATTTTTTTCATGCAATCGACTCTCAAAAATACCATTTCCATCCCCCAGTGTGAAAACTGTGACTCAATAGATAGCTGCACGTTCGCGCGATCGCAAAAGAGAATAAATATATAAATAAATATGGTGGTACGTACATATAAATGATACACGCATGTTACAACGTGAACGAATGCATGCGCGTACAAAACTGACACTTAGACACTTAATATACATATACAAAGTAAAAAGTTTCACGCTATATAAAAGCTCAAAAGGAAATCTTTATAGGACGTATCTCTCTAGATGCATCCGCTACGAATCTCAATCTATGCAATCTCTATTTTTATTACTTGACAAGTAGTATAGTGAATTACCTTTATGGATATTGTTGCGTCGCTTCAGGGTGTTCCGCGGAAAGTGAGAATAACATGCTCGAAGTTGTTCTTTCGTTAAGACTTCTAAAATTCTCGGTGTAAGGATTTTTAGTGAATAAATATCTCGCGTACGTAACGAAAAAAGGAAACGAAGAAAAATAAAAGTTAAAGAATTGAACGTTGTGTATAATAATATAATGTACTTGTTACGTTGAACTGTTGTATTTGTTATCGATCCACGGCCGAAAATCGTTTTCCGATCGTTGACAAAATCCTGAAGTGAGCATGTTTGAATCTTCGAACTCTTGAACGCTAATAATTCTCTGACAATGACTAGCATGTAACGTGTATCGATATGTAATTAATATACATATACGTATGTATATATACAGTGGTGGATAAAAGAACATCTAAGGAATTAAATCATCATAGTAAACGCTATAATTTATTAAGGAGGAACTATATTTTATAACACGGGTCACAGTATAGTATGAGAATATATATGATCTGAAAAAGGATGAAACAAATAATTATATGTATAGGGATGGGAAAGGATGTATTTTATTTGAAGAAAGCAATATTTTAATCGAGAAATGAAAGATTCATTAGACAAAGTAGTATAAATTTGATTGCAACACTTTATCAATATATTTATGCCGAATTTAAGATTTAATGTTCTTTTAGTAGATTTTCTTTTGGTCTAATTGAATTTCTTATTCCATTATCAATTTTATGATGTTCACTCGTGGATAATTTATGGATTTACACTACTTTGTGAAAGATATTATTAATAGATTTTCCTATTAAGTCCTATTATATGGATACAACTTCACAAACGAATGAATATCTACATATCAGAGAGAGGGAATTTCATAAATCAATCATACAAATATTAGCATTAAACATACAGTTACGCAAATACATAAAAATATGAATTTTTAACCTTTCCTTTAGCCATCACTGTATATATTATATATTCATTGTGAGAAATGAAGAAAATGTAAGTTTATCTATTAGAGAAATTAATGTTTTATCTAGCGTCGTACTTAAATTAAATATAATATATCGTCGATATATCACTGTCGCTAAAAAAAGGAAAGAAAATGTGAAAAAGACTATCTTCACGATAACTAGAAGGAGGAGAAAAAATTCCAACTCTAAGCGCTCACATCAAGTTGTGAATAAACATATCATACCTAATTAATATATTGAACAAAGAAGGGAGATATCATCGTTTAATATAATATAAATATGAGTCTATATATATATTAAAATATATATATATATAAAGATTATAAATCTATATGCCAGAAAAATAGTTATTAAACGCATTATGTCGAATGAACGTAGATCTACAATAGTAGGCCATTTTTCAATCCACTAAGGCAACAAAAATTTATATGCGTGTACATTCATACACATGCGCATACGTATACACACGTGAACGTAATTATAATTTTCTTTTTCCTATTTCTGATTCCTCTGATAAAAATCAACAACCGAATGCTTCTCTCGACTCTCTTACAATCTACCAAAACAGATCTGCGCGAAAAAATGATGTAATAAGAGAGGAAAGCACGTGCAGCGAGTCGTGCTGGAATATCTTTTAAATTATTATTAATATCTTGTCCTCTTCGTCGCGAGACACGTAAAGGAGGAAAATTTCAATAAAATGTAAACAAATCAAGTCACTTGATATACCTATATGTATGTATGAGAATTTTTATGTGTACATAAATTCTGCAACTTGAATCGATCTAGTGGCTGTCCTAATCATCTATATTAAAGTAGAAACGAAAATGAAGAGAGAAAAAGTTACGACATTTTCCTCCTGTGATATTTGAATTGCGATTCGTTTGTTTGTTTCTTTCTATTTTCTATCTTTTTTATTCAAAATTTCTAGTCCCCACGACTTATTCGCCAAGTTAATAGTCGCGTAACGCGATACGCTCGTAAACGTTGTTGGAACACGTTAATCGAAACGGCCAAATACTTAAATAACGATATTAATATAAAATAATGATCACTCGATCACGCCGGCCAATCATCTTTACTAGATTTCTCCTATTAAACTCAATGCTATCGCTATATAAGTCATTGAATCTCACAAACGTTCAAAAATATACTATATTCCAATCGCATAACCTCAACTTGCTTCATCAAATGTGGTTGATTCGTCTTTGTAAATCGTATAACTATTATTTCATCGTAATTCGATAAATAAATGATTGGCCGGCATAATCAAAAAAGCTAATAAGAATGAGAATTGATGTTATATTGATTTAAATTAAAGCCCAATATCCTTTCTTTTTCTTTCCCTCGTCTCGTGTTCCGACCGAAGCGCAAAATCGTCTTTTCCTCTTTACACGTTTCCTCTCAGTCTCGTTTCCATTCTCCCCGTTCCATCCACTTTAATCTCGTGTGCTATTTGCTCTCATATGCTACTTTTTAACATTGAGATTTCGGTCATGGTGCTATAATATCTGTACATATACTGTGGGAATCGTTGTGTAATCAATGTACCATTATTATTAATATTATTCGAACTATAATCGCATCCAATATACTTATTATTATTATTTTATTATTTTGATATACTCATATTTACATGACCGTTACGTTTAACGATACATCAACTTATAAATTTGTCTCGTAATTTGCGCACGAATATTGGGAAACGCTAACAAAGAAAAAAAGATGGCGATTCCTTTCATTTCAGAGATAAAAATATATAGTAAATATATATATATATATATAAATATATACATATATTCCGCCCGTAAAACAGGACTCTGCAATAATCATGATTTTGTTTGATATTGATTCTATGATTGTATATTTATAGATAAGTTGAGCTCAAGCGTGCATCTCGTTGCGTACGCTATATCACATATATTATACATACTCTTCATTTTTATATAGGCGAGATATCGAGATATCGACTGCATACTATATCTATACCGGATGTTTTATAAATCGTAAAACAATCAGGAAAATAGAAGACTCCACGGTCAAATATAAGGCGATTCCCACAATAAAGGTATTCCTGAATCTGAAGTTCTAGCATCTTTGACAGAAACTTGACGATAACCTAAATAGTACTTTCTAAATTATATGTTAGGTAGATTCGTGCGAGATCGTCCTACATCCGGCACAGAATCCGCACGGTTCTTCTCTGATCGATTCACGATTTATAAAACAGCCTATGTATAAAACGATATATCGAAGTGATTAAGGTGACGATGACGATGGATGACGGCGTGCCAAGCAAGGCGGGAATTGTTCTTTAAAAGCAAAAAAAATATAATATTACATATATATGTATAAAATAATATAAACGACGATAATGATATTAAGGTAAATAAGTACGACAAAACGACTGCTCTATACTGCTAAAGTACAAATGTTTCATTTATTTGTTTTATAAAAACGATATCGATTTGTTAGAGATTAGGTTTAATGCGTGCACGCTCAAGCGCGCGATGTACGTGTAATTATATTTATTTGTTAATCTCTCCCTATATCTTTCTCTCTCTCTCTCTCTCTCCCTCTCTCCCTCTCTCTTTCTCTCTTTCTCTTTCTCTTTCTCTTACTTTCTCTCTCTCTCTCTCTCTCTCTCTCTCTCTCTCTCTCTCTCTCTCTCTCTTTCTTTCTTTCTTTTCCTCTCTCAAGTATATTAATGTGGCCCCTCCATCTACATATATAGCGTCCTAACGTGACGCATACACAATAACGTGATACGCTCATGCTCGCTCATTTCACGTTCACCACGACATCTAATTTCACACGCAATCCACATATCTCTCCTGCCGTACTTATGTAATAGTCGCATGACATATGACAGTTTGGTCCTAGTAATATATGGGTGCGTACAGGTACATAAGGATACGAAATTCGTCGTTTTCGTCGTAACACGCACAGATTTTGAGCTCCTCATACCCCTCTCACGGATAATCACCATGGTGGTGTCAGATGATCGATGCTGAATAGCAGGAAATATAACTTACAAACCATAGCTAACAGAATGGCTCTTTTTGTGCAGCGTTTCCCAATCGTTTCCGTTTTTGCCGATTAATTTAACGAGCCTTGACCTTTTACGTTTTCTAAGTAAATTTTTTACCATTTATAATTATGAAGATATCGTATTGTGTTCGTTCTGAAAAGGTGGAAAGGTGTATGTAATATAAAGAAAATCTTATGAATTCATGAACTACCTTTGGATATAATATCTGCTTACTATTTCTAAGCTAAACATTTTCACTTTTTGTAAACAATACGTAGATTGGGAAATGTTGATTTGTTTAATCAAGATGCGACAATAATACGTATATATTGCTTAATAGCAAAACAATAAATTGTATAAGTATGACTACTTATGAAATTATAATGACGTGATTCGGCAATTTTGTTTCTTAGATACAACAAATGATTTCAACTACTGTTCTGTCGTTGTAAAATGTTTTAATTCATTTGTGCTCAAAATGTCGAAAACAATGCGTGAATTTTAAGAAACTTTCATGTTTTAATTCAGTATATTATTGCCAGATAAAAGCGTGAAAAATATTTTTCTAACAAAAAAGACACTAATTTTTTAATACGCCTCTACTACAAATAATAGTTCCGAGCAAAGATGAATTAAAATGAATTTAATATTTCATACAACGCTATTTGTATTACAGATTCAATAAATACGTTATTATTGTCGTTGCTTGATTCAATCATATATTCTGCGTTATATTTCCATCTCATTCATGGGTGTTCATTAAATATTATTTTCTCTTTTATATTACTTCACCTACGATCGTACTTAATCGCATCAGTATCGTTTCATCCGATAACCGATTAATTTCCGACATATCAGAATATATCTGCTAAATCGAATAGCAATTCAATTAACATTTAATCCTTTCGCAATGCAATATGTTTTCCCTATTTTCCATTAGGCGGCCTGCATTAATTTATCGTACAATTAATACGCGCTTCTGTTCATATGAATATCTTAGCGCGAAGTATTTTTATGATGTATAAATAATTTTGAGAGAATTATATATGACATTTAGTTTGAAATAAAATTACACACGATAAGGTACGCAATTGAAATTAATTCAATGAATGCAAAGAGTTTGAGTAAATAGGGAAAACAACGGAAGAAATAAAATAAAACAAAGTAGTTAACCGAAGAAAGAATCGCTATTGAAACTATTGGATGATTCACGAAATTGGAATCCAAAGGAAATGCAATGGAAAGTAATTGTCATGCTGTTCGTAATGCATCACGATCTAACGGATGCACGAAGAAATAAAGAAACAAAATAATGTATGTATATCTCTATCATACATACCGTCGCAATAATCGATCGATATTTTATATTTTTTTCCTGTAAGACAAAAGTTTGTCCACTTTAGCTCTTTGCAAATATGCGCGTATCGATCGTATTTTTGTAAATCCTCTAGAAACCAATTTCATCTGAAGTTCACGCTGCCATCAGATATTTGAACGTCTCATAACGTAAAATTGTTTTGCAACGAATCGCGATAAAAAGAAAAAAACAAACTAGATCGCAGAGAGTTAAAATGCTCGGACAACGTTTGTCGACGGTAGAATACTTGACCATTTGAGTGCAGAGGATCGTGACCGCGTTCCTCGATACTCGGACAAGAAATACGAAAAGCACAGAAACGCTTCTCATATTTCTTCCGTTATAAAACAACTATTGGACATGCATAACATCGTATGTCCAGCAGTTGTGCCTTTACATTGAGAAAATCGTTCGTGATTCACTGTTATTTGATCAGTATCAGTTAATAAACTTTTTAAATAGTGTTAAAAAATAAAGGCAACATTTCTTTCTGTCTCGAATCCTTCATTTTACCCAAACTCCCAAAACACATTCTATTATTTAAAATCTACAATTTAAATGTATATATAAAACTACTCTCTGCACTCAAATGGTTCGATCAATGTTTAACGAGATTTTAATTGTCGTATAAGATCGTTTTGCGATAACAAATACAGGCGAGCTGAAACAATCGGAATGGAATTAAATTAATTATGTAAACTGTAATGAATTTAACTTGAATCTCGAATGCATACTTTTTAGTAAACACTGTTGATACAATGATAGTGTAAATGGATTAAAAAATCTTGTATGTGTGTTAGAATTATTCGTAGGCAATTAGAAAACGTAAAGTTTCTTAGTCGTTCACATTCATGGCTTCCTTCTTTCGTATTTCCGCTCATTCTTCGTCACGCAAAGATGAAAAATTCAAGTATTAGTCATTTGTCCAATTAGCTTAATATATAATGTCGATATTTTAAAAACAACAGTGTCGATAGAATCGACTTTCGATCTGATCATATAAATGTTTAATTATTATTCGAAATTGTTTTAGAGGTTAGAAACTGCTCGAAACGTCTTCTGTAGTTCACAGTGGGAAGATATACGAAAAATTGCGATACAATACAATATTATGAAAGTTACTACTAAATGTAATTATCAGAAACATGTTTCCATAAAATTGTTTTAATTAATATTCTGTTAAATATTTCCTTTCTTGTAATAACAGAGTTAAAAATATTTTTCACATGGTTATATTGTGTATTTTTTATGCGTGTTTTAATAGTGTAAGCAAGTTCCGAATTTTCCGGAACGACCGGAATAATACGGGTATTCATACTTAGATATTCATACTATCCGGATAATGATTCAGTAGTATGTGTAAAGCAATATCTGTTACCTGAATAAGTACCTGTGTTATTATTTTAATTTTTGACACTAAAGGGTAATAAAAACTTCTAATTGTAAAAAATTATTTGCAAAAATCCAGATGAAACAGAATTATTAAGATATTGAAATAATACTTTTAAAAAGGAATACAATTCACGTTCATATCATACTAACTGACCATCTGAGTACCTTGGCTTAAACTATAAATATCTGTTTTATTCGGATAATATGAGTATCCATTGCTTAGAATACGCATTAATATTTTAATATAAACAAATTTCGAAATATAAAAATTTAATTTTATAATCTTGACAATGGAATGTTTTTTTAATTGTTTTTATATTTACATAAAATATATTTATATTTATATTAATTCGTTAAATGGTTTGTACCAGTTATAATCCTTTGTTTAGTATAATTAGAAAGAAGACAAGAAATATAACTAAAAACAAGTTAATATGCATGGACTATATTGTATTTAAATTATATCCACCAGCTGCAAATGAAATCCAAAATTACAATGGACTATAGTTTATGTCTAAAATAATAATTGGAGGAACTAAATAATATAATAGGGTGCAAACACTATGATCAAGTTTTGGAAAAATATAAAATAAAGTTATTTTATGAGATAAATTTTTAAATACAACTTTTTATTATACAGCAGTATGAACAAACATCTTTATTAATTATGGAATAAAAATAAAAAATTCTGTAAATTACAGACATAATACATAAAAATTAACAAATTTAACATTAATAATAAATTTGTAGTAACCCCTTGCCTTATGATATAAGTTCCTACAGCGCGTGTTGTAACCATTGGCAAGATCGACCAGACGTCGTACCATTTCACGGTCTGTCTGCGCGTTTGAAGTTGTTCGAATAGCACCGTTCTTTTGATATGTAAGGTACAACTAATTTTATGTTACAACATGTTTGATAAATAATTACTACCAATTTATCATTGAACAAGATTTTTAAGGGTATATTTCTAATATTTATCAAGAAAATATATCTGCGCGACCTAATGCGGTCAAGAAAGAACATGTTTGTCGCATGTAGCCCGAAGAATATACCATGTTTCTCGCTCATGTTTCTTATGTTTGGCCCGAAGAACATGCCTCGAGTCTAACTCGTGTTTCTTATGTTTGGCCAGAAAAACGTACCATGACTCTAACTCGACGTTGTTGGTTAAGAGATAAGTACAATTAAATAAATATTTTTAAATGTTTCAAATATCTTCAATAAGAAATTTAGTTTCATCAGAATACAGAACTCTTAGATACAAATAAATAAAACTAAGATTTTTCTTGCCATCTATAACTTTTTCTATAATCACAATTCAAATTCACCTTAATTTTGTTGCTGCTAAGTTTTAATACCTGTATTTGCACTGTATTTTTATGTGTCGAATAGAGTGTTTATATTAAAATATAGTGCTAAAAAACATAAATTCCAGTAAATTAAAACTATTAATAAGAGAAGAAAATTATAAATAATAATACGTGCTAACTAATTTCTACAAATTTGAAAACTAAAGAAATGGACACAATTACTTTATATTTATATATATAATTTATTTATATATATAATTTATTTATGATTACATATTTATGACAATATTTTATGTTATAGAACTAAGGTAATTACAATCTGCGTTACAATTTGATTCTGTTTCAAATTGTTCTAAGTATGGTATAGTTTCTTCTCCTTTTAATACCATTTTTTCTACTTTTTCTGGTAACTTAATTCCAACTAATTTGGACAGTGCACTCTTTTTAACTACCCCAGCATCTTTCCTTTTTTTGCGCTGTAACCTTTTTTTGATCTCTTTTATCTTTTTTTCTGACATGTGTAGTTTCCGAATATGTATTGCTAATCTTTGTTTTGATCCAATCTTTATTTTACATATATCACACTCATATTTTTTTCCAAGATGATAAGTCTGTATATGATGAGTTAAATTACTTTTAAAGTAATAAACACGAGGGCATTTTTCAAAAGGACAAGATACAACAGATCTATTTTCCATGTGAACTTGAGAATGAATTTTTAAATGTCGTTTGCTCAAAAATATTTTACCACAGTTTTTGCATTTGTAATCTGGAAACACAATTATAAGTACTTGAAATTAAAAATCTTTGAATTTAAAATTAATATTTACCATTTACATGTTGAGTTTTTTTATGTGCACAAAGAAGCAGCCATTTTTTAAAAACTTCATTACATCCTGGCATATTGCATGGATATTGTTTACCTCCTTGTTCATGATATGCTTTATGCCTTTTAAATTTTGTAATATTTTTAAAACTTTTATTACATTCATCACATTTATATAAAACCGAATTATGTTTTGCCATGTGTATCTTAAACTGGTATTTTTTTACAAAAGTTTCATTACAATCTTTGCAAGTTAATTTGTCATGATTTATATGCATTGTATTATAATGACGTTTTAAGTTATGTTGATTACTAATATGTAATGAGCATTCTGGGCATCTTAAATCAAATTAAAATACATTATTAAAATTTAAGATATAAAGTAATAAAGCAATTGGTGAATTGCTAAGATAAAATTTACTTACTTATATAATTTTTTTACTGCATTGTGGCTCTCCATATGTCGTTTCAAATGAGAATTGTTCGTATAAGTTTTATCACAATCGGGATACGTACATTTGTAGTCCCTCTACAAATACATGAATCACACCTAATTAAATGCAATTACTAACAAAACAACTAGAAATAGATGTTAATGCAAGCATTACCTCTCCCGTGTGAAATTTCATATGCCTTTTTAATCGAGATGGTCTAGAAAAAGATAAATTGCAACCATCAAAAGTACACTTGTGAGGCTTTTCATCTCTTTTGATTTTAGCAGCAACATCAACGTCTTTCGCCAAATCATTAGATTCAGACAAAATACTCTCAGATTCTGAATTTGTATCATGCCCCATTATGAATTACTTCTTTTACAATATATTCAAAAATAAGTTATTGCATATTAGCATATTATAAATATTTACAACATATATAGATACATATTATTTTTATATATACATCCATATTTTATTTACATTATAAATTCTGTTACATTACCACATTATTCTTTTATGGTAATTATTATTCTAATCTGATAATTTAAAATTATGGTAGTTAAATTTGATAATGTAAATTTTCCAAATGTTGATAATATGTTACATATCACATTCTTTATGTAGACAAAACATTTTTGCCATCAAACTATTAATAATCACATATAAATATAAATTATACATTCAAATATTCATTCAACACGTGCTACAAACAGAGATAAGTAGGAAGATTGCCGATACTTCTGGAAAAGGTTCAGCCAAAAGTATGCTCCATGAATTATCGCCTCTAGCGGTCAAATGGCCGAACTATATACACATTTCTTCCTTCGGCGCTTTTGATGGCAGAAACCTACGTGTACACATAGGTATACTCAATGAGAGAGCCGAAGTTGGCCGGAAAACAAACACTTAATGGCGATTCGAAAACGAGCGGTAAAACCATAGAGATATGTATTGATAGAGTGCGGGAGTGAGCTCAAAAAACGATATGTATAGGAATAGAAAGAAAATACTGTAAAAAGGCCTTTGTGTTCTTGTCTTATAACGCATGCATATTCGTATAGTAAATATGTAAATATAACACCGATCAAAATCTAAACGAGGTAGCACAACTTCACCGAATTTTGAAAATGACGTCACATTCCATGAATTTCTCGAAGTTGAAATTTTCGAATTCTTAAAAAAGTTTTTCAAGATACATAAGCAATTTTTATTTTTTCGTTCTTACCTTTCACTCGTCGTCAATACGAATGTATATTTCCCCTCTCGATGTGTACGTTCGTGGATATGGACATTTTTCCCACCAAAAGCACTGGAGAAGTAACGTGCGTATAGTTCCATTATTGGCCACTAGAGGTCCTTCTTTTGATTGTGAATATTTTGACTGACTTTTTCAACATTGTATCACCGATCTCCCTACTCATGCCGCAAATCAGTTATTCATCTGTGTCGCTCACATTTTTTGTGACATAGTTGCAACTGATCGATGAGTAATCAGCTGTTGATTTAATACGTTTTAGACGAAGTGGATATTTTTGAGTAATTTTTACGACATAATTGGTAATTGACAGTGAGATTTTGTGTGGCTAAACACGTAACTCATAGCATAAAGATACGGTTTTATCAAAGTTATATGATATTGTTTATTTTTTAAAAAATTCTACGAAACGAATAGTAGGTAAAGAGGTTATATTTACCTATGTTCGTTTGACAATATATGAAGGTGAGATGCGATGCTAAATTAAGATCACATAAATAGAGCAAGAGTTAATTGTAGTATATAAGCGCAAAAATATTATTTTTAAAGGATATTTCTCTAACCTTGAATTGTGGAAGATGCGATGCGTATAAAATTCTGCGAGAGGTTAGATCATCTTTGATGTTTGATGTTAAATCTTAGTTTTGTACAAAGTGTTTGTATCAAACTTACATACGAATAACAGAAATTATAAACTTTGAGTTCTTGACAAGAACAGATTTTACGCAAGGATAAGAAAACATTAACAAATACAATAACTTCATATTTGCAAAGATAAATATGTAAGCAAAAGCGGAATATAATAAAATGACTATAAAAGAACAGTTAATTATAACTCGCGTAAATAAATCAATAATTAAAATTTCGAAAGAGATATGTTTAATAGAATATTATTTTGGAAATGTGTTAAGTTTAAATTTTATTATTCAAAAGTTATGTAATTTATATTCCAAATAATGGTATGTTGTAAATAATACCAGAATCTTCAGAAAAATAATGGGTCAAACGCTCAGTGAACCTGTAACAGCTAAGAAATTAGCATGCTGCAGAAATTCAAACTATCGAGTTGGAAGTTCCTGTATGCAAGGATGGCGTATCAAAATGGAAGATTGCCATGTTCATATACTTTCATTACCTGACGATCCTGGTACTGCATTTTTTGCAGTATATGATGGTCATGGAGGTGAGAATATGACATAAAAATATAATGTTTTTAATTATAAGCTGAGAATATTATTGTATTGTTTAAAGCTACATACAAGAAGTATTTAAATACCGATTGATTTGAAGCATACAGAAAAAATATACTTTAAAAGAAAATTTCAGGTTCTATTATAATTATAGAAAATTATAATAAATTATAATAAATATAAATTAGATAAGTTTATATATAATTCCTTCCATGCTCAAAGAAGTAATAGATAATATTGATAGGTGCGGCAATGGCACAGCATGCTGGAAAACATCTTCATGAATACATAACTAGAAGAAGCGAATACAAAGCTGGTAATATTGTTCAAGCTATACAACAGGGTTTTCTGGAATTAGATAAAGCAATGCAAGATGATGCAGCACTTAAAGATGAACAAGCAGGAACTACTGTTATAGCACTTCTTATAAAGGATAATATTATATATAGTGTAAGTTCTTTCTAAGTTACTGTTTCTGTTTTTATTTTATTGCAATTATTGACATATAAAACCTTTGCAGGCAAACGCAGGTGACAGTAGGGCAGTGGCAAGCATTAATGGTAATGCTGTTCCACTTAGTCGCGATCATAAACCTACATTGAAAGATGAACGTGAAAGAATCGAAGTTGGTGGTGGCTGGGTTGAATTTAACAGAGTTAATGGTCAATTAGCATTATCTCGTGCTCTGGGAGATTTTATGTTCAAACGAAATGAACGTAAACCACCGCAAGAACAAATCGTAACTGGTAATAGATAATAAATAATAATATGGAATTCCTAACGAAAAATTAATATATGTTAATGCATCTTTACATTTATAGCTTTTCCTGAAGTTCAAGAGTTTCGAATAACACAAGATTGGGAATTTGTTGTATTGGCTTGTGATGGTATTTGGGATGTAATGACGAGTAATGAAGTAGTCAATTTTATACGAACACGTTTAGTTCAGTCGAAATTTGGGATAGGAAAAGAACAGGATACAATGGATCCTGAAGAAATTTGTGAAGAGCTTATGAAACATTGCCTTGCTCCAGATGCCTTAATGGGTACTGGTTGTGATAATATGACGGTCATCCTTGTATGTTTCCTTCACGGAAAACCATATTCTCATTTAATTTCACGCTGCAAGGAATCTATTGGTACAAATTCCTAGTTATATAAATTATTGATATTTTATGTCAATTATTTTTTTAAATTCTTTATATTTAATTTTACATCATAATGATGAACAATGTTTCATTGTCATACTTCGTGATGTCAAAGTTTATAAAATTTGCTAAGCTTTTCTATGAGTTTCGTTGTTTTAAGCTTTATGAACACAAATTTTTAAGAAGAAAGATTGATTTTATATCAACAATATTTTACCTTTCATTATAATTATTAACATGTCTTATTTATAATTTTAAAAAGCAAATTACAAATAAGCTGAATTACAAGTTTTTATTTACAGTTTCGAACAATGGACAAGAAGTGTCCAAATATAAGTATAGTAACAATTTTAGTAAAATGCAGTAAATTTTCGTTCAAAGTCCATAACGATCTTGTAAAGAAGAAACAGCCGCATTGGCAAGAGAACTTATTCTGCCTGCAACCTTATTTACTCCTTGACGTACACTTTCTCTAACATCATCTAAATCAACTCCAGTTCTTCCACCGCTAAGACGTATTGATAAAGAAGACGTGGGGGATGTGACAGTAGAACTTCCTGTGCCAAAATAATCAGCTGATGAAATACTAGATGAACCCTCAAAACGGCGCAGATTATTTTTACGTTCCCACTGTAAATTAAAGTGGCATAAAATTGTAATTAAAGTAGAACGATACAATGTACAAAGAGAATATTAATATGTAACGGCAACTCACAGAATCATCATCTTTGCTGTCCTGAAAATACTGATCGGAACTAATAGCCTTGGCACTACCAAATTTCTTCTGTGCTTCTCCTTCTACCATCGTTTTAACATCATTCTTGCTATTATTTGGTTTGCTCAATGGAACTACACGTTTTGGTGGTTCTGGCTCTGCAATAACAATAACTTCTTCATTACGAGATTTGTTGTTAGTATTGCTACTGTATGGTGTTGAAAAGACCACATAAAATTCGTCTAAATTAATAAAAGGATCTCGTTCGACATCAATATCTCTCGGTCTTGGTTCAGAAGCAGTTATAGTCCTTGATGATGTTTCCTGCATTATTGTTCTCATATCACCAAGTGCAGAATGACTTGCACCACTGTAAATTACACATATTTCCAATATATCGTATTTTATGTTATGTGTACAATATTTACAATTTCTTTCTTTTTTCAGTATTATTACACAAAATAATAATTCTTCAATTATATATAAAATTATATAGATACAGTACATATATTAACAATGATATTTTATATAAATATATGTATACAAGCTTAGAAATAAGATATAAACATTACCTTCGTGTATTAAATCCCATACCAAGACGTTCTGCTTGTGTTGCTTTGGAAGGATCTAATTGTTTTGTTCTCTGTTCTATCTTCTTAGCCTGTTCACTTAAATTCTTTTCATAGCGGTAGGCAAGTCGTGTAGCAATTTCATCTTGTTCTTCTTTTGTATTTTCTCGTTGATCTTTCTCCTGTGGTTCTTTATTAGCTTCAGCAACACTTTTTTCTAATTCATCAAAATTTGTTTTGACTCTTTGAGCACCCAACCCACCAGTTTTCTTGCCCAACTATTATAAAAGTATAAAAAATTAATAGCACATTTTTAATTAAAAGTGTACTAGTATCTTAAAATTGTATTAGTATTCTAAAGTCAAAATAATAATTTTGAAATTTATATCATTCATTATTAAACTATGTTAAACATAAATGATGAATAAATAACCATTTGTATACATACACCACTTCGTTTATTTGGAACCTGTCTGACACCTATGGTTGGTTTCCTTTCAGATACCAAGTTTGAGGTAGAATCAGATAACTTAACAGTAGGGCCTAAAGAATTAGCAGCAGCTTCTAAGCTATCTTTTTGATTATTTTTGTCCTCAGTGTCATTGATTGATACAGAATTAGCAGCAGGAACTGAATTTCCCTCAGGATATACTGAAGACTGATGATATATCTCAGCAGTTTCATGTTCTTTAAAAAAATCAACTTCACCTTGTTCTTCAGATGTTGATGTTGGATCATCATCTAAATGCAGCTACAATAAAACACAACCTTAAGAAAAATTAATTGTTCTAGATATATTTTAAAACAATCTTTTTTCTATGTTTTATGTAAGATACGTACACACTGAACAAGTTAGTCATATAATGAAAATAGTCTGAAATTATTGGTGTAATGAATAAAATAGAACATACAATGATAAATAATTTTGAAAAAATAGTGCATATGTTTTTACAACTATTAATAACTGAGCATAGAAATGACCACATATTAACTTTTACAATGCTATCTTTAAATAAAGTTTTAAACAAGTATTAGTAATTCGATGATGCTTTTGTAAAAGTAGTTTTACAGCTCACCATTGTCTTATTTTTTGTTGAAGGAAGAAAAACCTATAATTACCATATTTGTAATTATAAAATGTTTAATTAACTAAATTGCATGTTCTGTATGGTGAATATACATACAAACAATGTATATTTTACCTTTGTTCCATAACGTCGCATTGCTTGAGCAGATGCCTGTGCCAATTTTTCTCTATACTGCATAGCAGCGCGTGAATTATACTTTTGTTGGGCATCAGTTGTTGTACAATTATGCTGTGCAAAATATTTTCTCTGGAAAGTATAACAAAGATTTCTATAATGTATTGATTTTAATAACAATTAATAATTTCAAATTTCACTAACAGCATTTGCATTTCCACCCAATTGCATGTTCCTCAATTGCAACCAAGTCCAATTTGTGTCAAGTTGAGTAGATCGAACAAATGTCAAATGGACACCTAATCCTCGATGAACTGCAGAACAGTCGATGCATAGGAAAACACCGTAAGTCACACTGGACCATGCTGGATTTTTTGCATTGCAATCGAAACATGTCTAAAAAAAAATCATAGTACTATATCAAAATATATATTATAGTAATATTTGATTAATTGCTTAATTATAAATTATAGATTTAATTGATGATGTAATACTTTTTTCAATACGAGAATTATAAGGTTCTATTATTGTCGAAATGAAAATTGACACAAAATATCCCGTAATATGTGTCACTATGAAACGGAAGATTCCAGGGAAATTACAGGTTGGGAATGAAAATATGACATTAACGTCAAGATTATTGTCAGATCAAATACTTTTGTAATTTTGTACAATCCGATACTCAACATCGCACGGAAAATTAAAAAATGAAGAATCAAACCTTATTTGTCGGAATAGCTCGTAATCTTTTAAAAATTTCCTCAATATCACTTTTACTAGGCGCTGGATCTGCCATTTTTGACGTGTTGTCAATGACTTCGCAAAGTATTCTGGGACGCGTGGCGGCGATTTTTTATACATAGAGGTCGCTTGCTTGTAATTCGAAGCGAATAATTTACTAGAAGCAGCTGGAAGTCATTGTTAATATTTTAAGTTCACATAAACATTAAGTCGTTCACTTTTAATATAAGGGATATAAATTATTTTTAGATATTCAATACATAATAAAACATGTATAATATAAAATAAACACTAAATTTTTAAAGATTTCATGCAATATTGAACTTTCTCATTAGTTTAATAATGAATTTATATACAATTTTAGAAACATTACTAATATTAAGAATTTATTAGAAATTTTTTTTTACATAAAATAAAAATAAAATTTAGGATTATATATGTTTATTAAACATATCAAGATTTTTTTTTATCACTCGATACATCAGGTCGTTGTCCAGTATTCGGAGAATCGCTTACATTTACTTCTTCTTCTTCTACTTCCAAGTTATTTAACCTATAACCAACAACTTTATAGTGTAATGCACAAAAATGAATATTCATGAAAATAACTTACTCATCTTGTTCAAGACTATACAGCATTTGGAAGCCAGCATCAAGACTGGGAGGGAAGCCCATCTCAGGATCTAACAGTTGAAGAGTCGGCACTTCTCGGTACACATTTCCAAATTCATCAAGTTCCTCGAATTGCAATTTATTAGCTGCTTCATCTAAAACCATCCTATAAATTGAACAAATATTAATAGAAATAAAACGTTTCATCTTCAGAAGCATTACAGCCTCTTTAGTACAATTAAATAGTTAGCACTATAAACATTAAGTTCAAGTTGCCTCTGTTTTTCCATCATTGCTTCAACCTTCTTTTTCATGTTATCTTCAAATTTCAGCACATATTCTTGATAGTAGTCATGAAGAGCAGCTACTCCACCAATACCTGTTTCCACTAATACCCTTTCTAATATATCCTATAAGAATATACACACATATATTTTTTATGAATTTCTTATTTTTATAAAGAGTAAGCTGATAAAATTTTGTATTACTGGAAAACCATGATCTCTCTGTTCATATGCTGCCTTCATTAAAAGCGTCATTCTTCTCAAAAAATGATTTGCAATATCTGTAAGCGTTTCTATAGCTATATTTGAAGACTTTTCAAATCCAATGTGTGCTAGAAGAGTAATAACTGCATGTTTCAATATAGAACGAGCTGTTTCTGGTGTAAGATAATGTATCGTTGAAGCATTTTTAAATACATTTCTAAAATAAAAATCTTGTTAATGTTTTATTGAATTGTATAAATGTATTTTATGCATATACGTTTTAATACCTTTCTTTTTGTACAGGTAAAAACTGAAATGAATTCTGTGCTTCTTTTCTTTCTTGCAAATCTTGTACTTCAATTGTTGTCATATTTTCCAGTACCATCCCTTCTTCCTAACAATTAATGTAAATATTATTAAAGAAATATAAGACTTATATGTTTCTAATAATTATTTCACATTATTACCATCATCCTTAGTTGTTGATGAAAATTTATAGTATTTAATACATGAAGATTTCCCATAGGTAATCTATAAGTAAAAAAAGAAAAAGCTGTATAATATCCTAAAAGCAAGATCTGTTTTTAAATTAAAGATAAATTTACTATACATACTCAGCTTGTCTATCCACTTGAAAATCACAATCAGAGTTATTTGATTCTTCCATAACTTGTCTCCAAATATTTTCTATGACATCTGGAGTTATTACTTCTTGTTTTAGAGTTTCTCTTGCTGGTAATTCCCCCCATAAAGTACCAGTTCCAATATTTTTTGTAGATTTCATTGTAAAAATTATAGTTGGTATAAAATGATCAATTTTCACATTTCTTTTTATTACACTGCTAAAAAGTAAAATGTAATTAATGATATAATTATAAACAATTATTTAAAATAATTCATAACTAAAAATATTTTCACTGAAAAAATTTATCTAATGGCACAGTATAAGTGATATTAAACAATTTTATTTCTTATATTACGCACATGAAAGTACAGTAATGCAGTGCAATACAGTAAGTACAGTTTTTCTATTTAAAAACCCGCGCAAACATTGGTATATTGCTCACGTGGCACGTTACTGTTAAGAAAACGTCATTGCATTTT